GAGGAGGAAGAAAGGAAGGAGGAAGGAGAGAGGGAGGAAGGAAGGAAGGAAGGAGAGAGGAAGGAAGGAAGGAGGAAGGGGGAGGAAGGAAGGAAGGAAGGGAGGAAGGGGGAGGAAGGAAGGAAGGAAGGAAGGAAGGAGGAAGGAAGGGAAGGAAATAAGTACAGAAATTAAAGGCTGAGTCAGCAGCCCCTCTGGAACTTTCCAGCCTGTGTTTGGGATATTCCCTTTCTACCTGGAAGGTGATTCCTGAAACAGCGCCATGGAGCCCCTTCCAATAAGGAAAGACCATCTCAGCCCAGCCTCTCCCCTGGCCTCTCTCTGGCCACCCTTTTCCTCATTGTTTGAGACCCTCAACACGGCAGGCAGAAACAGACAGGCCTGAGCTTTGACTTGTGGGCTCACAGTTGTCCAAGTCAGCAGCTTTCCCCAAGGCTTCCCCACAGGCCCTTCTGTGGGTCCACGCAGATCCCTCCCCAGGTCCTCCCCCAGTCAGCTGCTCCACTGAGCACAAGTGGTCTAGATGTGGCCACTATGGGAAGACGTGAACTCCTGTCTGCAGGGCACCTGTCCCTCTCAGGCCTTTGAGGACAGCCCAGCAGACCCAGGAGGTCCAGGTAGTCCAGGCAGCACAGACTGAATGTTACTGTCCTTCCTGTTCACAGGAACTCCATTTGTACAAAGTGGAGAACTGAGGCTCTCAGACATTTCTGGATGTGTCAAGCCCTCCCGATCCCTGCCCAGGTTGCCTCTGCCTCTATGTGCAAGGAATTGGGAGCTATTATGCCACCCCGGTGCTGTAGGTCCCCAGGAAACCACCCACAGCAGGGACCGGCACACCCGGGATGGCTGCCACCTCTGACCTGTCTGTTGCTCTGCAGCTTCGAGCCCATGCTGTGGACATGAACGGCAACAAGGTAGAAAACCCTATCGACCTGTATATCTACGTCATCGACATGAACGATAACCGTCCCGATTTCATCAACCAGGTCTACAATGGCTCCGTGGATGAGGGCTCCAAACCAGGTGAGGCCGGGTGCTGGGGAGATGTGTTGGTGTCTGTTCCCTGAAGACCCCACACACACTGCCGGACCCAGGCAGGGAAGGGGACTGATCTATACGGACAATAACATGGAATCGGAACTGTTAACACGCAGCACAGCTGCACGGGTCTTTCTAGCTCCTGCTCTCACACACTGCAGGTTACAGAGAGGCCGTACCACCTGTGAATAGTCATGACAGAGCTCAAGACATGGACACTGAGTCAGGGGAATGTGCCAACCAGGGAAGAGGGGACGGTTGTGGAGGAAAGACAAGCCCCAGCCGTGGGGAAAAAGTATTTACCAGGAAGGAATGTATAGGAAAGGTTTATTAATCCTCTGAGAATTCCATACAATGTATTTTAATCATATTTACTCCCCCTCCTCCCAACTCCTCCCAGATCCACCCCCCTATACCTCCAACTTCGTTTTTTTTCTTTTTTTTTTAATAACCTAAGTCCAATTCGTGATGCCTATTTATTCCTGGTATGTGGGGCCATCTACTGGAGGATGGCTAACCTACCAAGAGCCTCACCCTCAAGCCAGAAACCACTGTGAACCTCCCTCCCCCGCCCCTGAATGTTGTCCGGCTTGATCCTTATGCAAGTCTCATGTGGCAACCAGAGCTACTGAGTTCATGAGTGCAGTGGGTCTGTCATGTCCAGAAAACACTTATCCACTCCAGTCCCCCAACCATCAGCTCTTACAATCTTTCTGCCCTCCACTTTTTCCATGATGGTCCCTGAGCCAGGGGAAGGGGTGTGATATAAATGCCCCACTTGCAGATGAGCACGCCACCGAAACTTGCTCTCTGTGCTTTGACCAGTTGTGTCTGATTAACCGCCATCCACCTCACAAACTTCTCTGATGAGGGCTGATAGCTGCATTAATCTGTGGGTATAGATTCAAATTTAGAGAGCAGTTTGATATTATGTCCATTTAGCAGACTGATAGCAGTAAGTTCACCCCTGGGGCCAGTGAGCTCCCCAACCCTGGGTTCTTGGACAGATTATAGTACAAGGCCGTGTTTCCTCCTGTGGAGCAGGCCTTAAATCCAATCAGAAAGCAGTTGACCACCTCTATCGTGTTAGTACCACTATTTCCACACCAGCCATTGTTAGAACTCACAGGGTTCACAGCTGTTAAGATTGTTGGTGACCTCCCCCCAGCAGCTCTCATAACAAAGTACTTTTTCTAGTACTTTGAAAACTAGCCAGAGGGGAGGAAGCTTCCTGGTCAGCACCAACTTGATTTCTCCATGGCCTGCGGCCAGTGCGTGTGGTGTCTTCAGCGATAGTTTTACTATAAAGTTCTGGTGGGCACAGCCTGTGTTATTATGGGGGTGATATGAAAGTTTAAATAAAGAATAGACACTGAGGACAGAAAGACAGCAAGGTAAATTGAGAGTTGAATGTTTGAGAGGGAATAAGACGTTTAGTAGCAGTTAGAGAAGAGTTACCTGGCCCACAGCCTTTTCCACAGGGTCATAATTGAATGCATACAAGGACGTTCGTTCACTATCTTGTAGTAAGTTGTGGGGGGTGCACGTGTGGTCAACCTTGGGTGTCCTTCCTCAAGCACTATCTGCCTTGTTTTATTGAGATAGGATCTCATTATCCTAGAGCTAACCAATCAAGCCAGACTAGCTGTCCAGCAAGCTCCAGGGAATCTACCTGCCTACTCCTCGCCAATACTGGGATTATAAGCACTTGCCATGACATTCAGCTTTTTTATAAAGGTTCTGAGAATTGAAGGAAATGTCAAAGGGCAAAAGGTACTCCTCAAAACAAGCATTTCACCAACCGAGCCCTCTTCCCAGGCCCTTGAGGTCAACTTTATGATATTACTTGTCCTCCACAGACTGGCCGTTTGGGGTGAGGCCCAGAGGTCATTAGAGTTAGGCTCTAATCATTTGTATAAGGCACCACAAATCACTGAGCCAGGGTCCAAGAAGTTAGATTGTTGCGGGGGGGGGGGGGGGTTAATTTTTTGAAGAGGGCCCCAAAAACCCTGGGGCGGGGTTCAAAGAGTTTGGTTTGTGGGGGGGGGGGGGGGGTGTTTACTTTGTGGTTTTGGCCTTTTGTCTCTCTAGTGACGTGTAAACTAGAGAGGGGTTTGGATAGGCACGTGTGTTAGAAGGGAACCTGGGAAAGGGAGAACAATGTGCCAAAGTCCTGAGGCAGGAAACCAGGCCAAAGACCAAGGCCTGCCAAACAAGGCCAGACTCCTCCCCTGGCCTAAGATGTGAGCCCCTGGGTCAAGGCCCTCTTCGCCCATCAGAGCTGACCCAAGAGCCTCTCCTCCCACAGACCTCTGTGGCACATGACTCTACCATGCTTGGGGGCTCTTACTATGAATCATGTATGAGTGCCTGCATGCCATAACCACTGACAAGCAGGTATGCCCCTCAGAGCCCAGGCAGCTATATATGTGGGTTACAACCCGAGTACCCACATTCCCAGCCTTACTGAAGGCTCAGGTGGAGGTAGAGAGTGCTGGCCAGCCCCGGACCTGCCAGGACCAGTGACTTGGTCTACTTCAGCAGGTACCAACCTAGGAATTAACAAGCCTCTGGGTGATCCTGCTGAGCCATCTCCTGCATGTGGGGAGAGGAGGACCTCCCCAGACAAGCCTTTCCCCGGAAAAGGTAGTGGATGAGGCCAGAGGCCTCTGCAAGGGCTGCCAGGCGTGGCACACATGACACCCAGGTAACCCTGAAGTTCAAGCCATTCCCACTTATCATTGTGTCCCAAACAACTTTCAGGACACGTACATGGAAAGGTTTTCCTTGTTCGTCCGAACTCACGTTTACCGGTGTTCTGCACTTTAACTGGCAGCCGTGCACAGTGCTAGCACAGTGCTGGGTGGATCAGAGGCCATTTCTTCATGAAAATCCAGAATGTGCCGAGCAAGGGCGAGCCGTCTTCCAAGGAGCCACCGGCTCCCCAGACTCTGCAGGCCCCACGAGGGGTCAGCCGCATCTGGCCAGGGCGGGAGGGCACACATTTATCATCACTCTCCTCCGCGGGCAAAGGCTGTCATCACTCCATCTCTGGAGACCGCTATTTCAACAAGGCGAATTGCATTTTCGAATGATTGTCTTTCAGGATAGTGAGACACCGGCAAGCCTGGTGTCACCGCGGGAACAGGATGTAACATTATTTCTGCAGAACCTTGGGCAGCTCATCCCACAGCAGTCCCTTGAGGCGCAGGAGCAGGCAGTGGGCGGGCAACTTAGCTACAAACAACCGCAGAAAACAAATGAGGGCAGCCAAGGGCACCTCTTGGAGGGGCTGGCGCGAGGCACGGGCCCAGCTGAGGTGTGTTCTCATTAGCACAGAAGCAGGTGACCTCTTGCCCAGGACCCGGGCCTGTTTAAAGGAGCTGAGATTCTCCTGGGCTTTCTTGCAAATCAGACTTGTCACACCTTCCTTTAAAACACACAGCAAAAGTCTTCCCCCAAATGTGTAACTGGTGGTAACTGGTTAGGACAACAGGAAGAGCATTCCCACAAGCCACTGAGCCTGCAGAGCTGGCTGGTGGGCCACTCACAGGGCTGGCCAGGCAATGAGAGCCTTTGTGGGCCTAAACCTGCTCTCCAGGCTGATACCTGAACTCCCTAAGGACTGTGTGAGCAAAGTGTTCACCAGCTTTCAGAGCTCCTGGGGACCCCAGAGTCTGTCTTGGGTCCCCCAAAGGAGCCATGTGTTCATGTTCACTAGCTTTCAGAGCTCCTGGGGACCCCAGAGTCTGTCTTGGGTCCCCCAAAGGAGCCATGTGTTCATGCAAACTGTGGGTTGAAGCCAGATGAGGTTACTGTGAACCTACCCTCTCCCTCCTCCACAGATCCCAGCCAAGGGCTAGGATGTGATGTCCCTTCCTGTAGCACAGTCCCTGGGCCCTGGAAATTGTCTGTAATTTCTTCTCCTCCATCAGTAAATTACAATAATGGAGGGTTCTACCCTTGCCTTTGCGGGATAAAGAAAAACCACCACCGGAAATTAATCATTATTCTCTGAAAAGATGGGCTAATGAGAGGTTTCAGATGTGCGTTCTAATGGGCGACAAATGGGAAAAGATTAAATGTTGACTAAGCTAGCGGGAAACGTTGAAGGGCGGGGTTCATTTGGGGACATGAGCAGCCTGCACGCACCTCACTTTGTTCCCCAACCCAGTCTCCTCTTGGTTGTAGGAATGCACTAAAAATTCTTTTGTAAAAATGATGGGCTTGCAGGGAGAATTAAATTTGCAGATAGCTGTGAGAATATTACAGCCAAATCCCACCAGCCTTCACCCCATCCCTACAGTGGTTCAAGCCTGAGAACCAGCACACGGGCACACCCAGGAGGTGGTCTGTGCAGCCCACAGCCGTGCTAAAGACTGGCTGGTATCACCTATACGCCAGTGTGTGTCTGGGCATCTGTATGTCTGTGTGTGCTTGTGTCTACGTGTATCTGTGTGCATCTAGGTGTTTGTGTCTGTATGTATATACCTGTGTGTCTGTGTTTGTGTGTGTATGCATGCATGTTTGTTTGCAGATGTTTGTGTCCGTGTGTATATATCTATGTTTCTGTGTGTGCACGCGCACGTGTGTGTATACATATATTTATATATATATATGTGTGTGTGTGTGTCTGTGTGTTTGTATGTATGAGTATGCATGTGTCTGTGTGTATAGGGTTTGTGTCTATATGTATATATACATATATGTGTATTTGTGTATTAGTTATTTTTCTGTTGCTATGATAGAAACACCTTGACCAAGGGAACTTATAAAAGGAAGAGTTTATTTGACTTACAGTTCCAAAGGGGCAAGAGTCCATCATGGTGGGAGGCATGGCGGCAGAGGCAGCGGGAGCAGGAGCAGAAGCTAAGCTCTCACATCTTCAAACAGGTACAGGAAACAGAGTAACTGGAGATTTAGCAAGGCTTAAGAACTCTCTAAGCCCACTCCCAGTGATGTGCTTCCTCCAACATGGCCACACC